GAAAAGCAGAAATTGTCCTGAATTCTACAAAGGAGACAATAGAGTGGGCTGAAATGAAAGTGGGCACTACAATTAACATTTCGATGGTGCATATATGCCTTTTGAAATTCATACCTATGCATTACACTATCACCTCCATTACACAGATGCTTGCAAAATTAAGCCTCGATCGCTATCATTTTGCTACTTGAGAAAATAAAACTCCTTTCAAAGCAATTGTGAAAGGCAGAATAATAGACCTATTCAGCCCGTATTGTTATCCTAGGAAGCTTAAGCAGGATGGGAAGAATAGCGGCTGAAATACTGGTTTGGCAACTAAGAATTTGTAGCACTGAACATAAAAGCAGCAACCTCTGCGCTTTGTATTATATCTACAGTACGTTGAACATTCGCCTTTCTACTAATGGCAGGGTGGTGTGTTCTCACAAATTGGGTGTGGGGCCGGCATATGACCATCAGTGTTCAATTAGCCGTGGTCATCCTCTATCTAAATTATTAAAATCTCATGTAACTCTAGATAGTACTGACAGACTGTAATACATTGTAGTCCATCAAACATTTAAAATTTAAAATTCGTTGAGACACTGAGTGAATTAAATATGATACAAAGACGGTCTTTGTATAATATTTAAGCTGCTTAAAAATAAACACTTACGGGCCATCATACACTTATCTCCTTCAAGAGCCCACTTTTATGAATTCTACAGGGAATGACGACCTAGATATATAGAACACTATGTACAAAGTAAAATGGTAATTTAAGAGATGGTACACATTCAAATATACTACTGGACAAAATCTTGATAGTGTGATGAGATTAGTGGCATTAGATGAATATTAGTTGGTAATAATTACTGTATTTCATTCAATAGATTGTTAGTTGTAACATTCACAGTATTGTACAGATGCTACAGTGCTTGACACTCGGGCCAAAATGTTTTTTTGGGCCACCAGAAATTTATTTCTTTTGGCCCAAAATGAAAAGTGGTAGCCCAATTTTCCATTGGTATTTTTTTGGTTAAAATATAAATCATAACCATAACGACACAGTAATAAAATTATATGATACATCATACTTGTATGTATTGTGTATATGCAGTATTTGTATAGATGTGGCGCCAGCAACTTGTATGTATTGTATTGGTGATATGGGCCGGTGGCCTTCTTTACCTGAATAAAGAAAATTTAGTTAAACCGGTAACACGGCGTCCCATCGTCACATGTAACACGGCTACACATCATGACATGTAACATGGCTTCACATGTAACACGGCTTAACCGGTAACACGGCTCACAGAAACACGTCACAGGTAACATGGTGTCGGAGGTAACACGTCATCACAGGTAACATGGCTTCACATGTAACACGGCTTCACCGGTAATACGGCGTCGCAGGAACACATTGCACAGGTAACACGGCGTCACAGGGAACATGGATCGTGGAGACGGCCGATGGTACGAATGTCAGGCGAGCGAAACGTGTTTTGTTCGACAGGGAATGCATGCCTCCTGGATCTGTCATTGTTGATCAAGAACTCCCTAGAAGAAAGTCACAAATTCACAATAACTGGATATTTTTTCAAACCATATGAAATTATTTGTATACAATTTGTACAGAAGATCCTTCATCTGTGGTAGTAAGGGTAGCGCAGGGTATTTTCCCCACAGTTCATCAGCGGAGCTCAATAAATGAATTCGCTGAGCGCAATGTATCACTATGGGTAAAACAATTTAAACAAAATATATCAGTGCACAGTGGTAGTTAGATAAAGTATGTTGAAAACTATACCCGGAAGCATGATATAATTATATATTTATATACGTGATTGTAAACAGTGCTAGCAAGCACTACATGAATAAAACTATTGCCAGTATTGGCATTGCAACAAAACAGGTTGGAAGAATTTGCGGAGCAACGTGGACAAGAGAAGCGCCGGGAAACAATATACAGGAATGGACTACTGAAGGATATATATATGACTGAAAACATGATCCACACAGAGTATACAGGGGGAGAGTGATGATCTGCATAACATCGCTATACACTGACTGTGTGTTGGTACTGTCCTTTACATGCCATAGGCATAAAACATGAACTACCTCTCAAATGGTTTTGTGAAACTATATCATACCTTTCAGGGTACTTTGGTAAACGAAAAAAGTGAACATTGCATGTTTATTCCTGACAATCGATTGTTACAATTTACGAAGAACAGTAGGCACCACCATGGTTTCTCTAGTGCGGTGCCATGACGGCGTGACCACAAACTATAGATGGCGCTACCAGTTCAATTAAAAAATGGCTGCCAAATAGGAATTGCACTGAGTGACTATGCTCGTTGATTTTATTTTATATGCTCTGATCTCCCTTTACATAGGAAAGCAGTGTCCGCCAAGTGTTGCGATAAATCAAAATCTGAGCACTTGTTTTGCGCTGTGTTAACGCCGAACAGAAATTGTACTCGCCCAAAGATTTTATTTTGGGCCTGTAATATTTTGTTTTTGGTATTTTTTAATCGCCCAGCAGAGGTTTTGGTCGCCATTGACGACCGGGCGACCGGCTGTGTCGAGCACTGCAGCTAACATTCTTAATTTTACACAGCTGGGGTATATTATAATAAGCAACTTTGCAGGGAGTGCTGCTCTCTATACTTACAAGGGTTTCAATAAATATTACTGAGGTCAAGGCCTATTAGTATAAAAGTAGTAGGGAATACAAAACGAGGGCCACCAGGCCTCATGTAACGTTAAAAGCAACTACAGGCTGCAGGACAAATATCTGGCGTACAATTCAAGGAACTGAACTGACACAGCTGAAATCACTGTGCGCTGATAAATAAAACCACTGTAATCATCCCGGGTATAAGTAATACCCTGCATTAACTCTGGTCACGTATATTCAACCATTTATATGTAATTTGTTGATTATTAACAATTTTCACATGTTATGACACAGAAAACCACACAGAACCCAATTCTTTTAAAGAATGAATATAGGGGTTTCTACCCCAAATCCCCTTTCCTGTGTTACATGATTTTAAATAATCAAAAACCAAGATTGACAGTGTGGTTGCACTCATATGCACATATTTACACCATGTTTACTGTAATCCAATTTGTACTCTGAATGCCCTTATACCCATGTGAGATATTATATACAGACCTGTAATGTTTGCCATTCTTTACTTATATATTAGAGAAGATTTATGGATTACCTACATTTTTTGGCAGAGAAACCTTTTGCAGGAAGGCATCTAATTATGAGTTAATTGGACAACGTAATTTATGTAACAGAATGTCACATTACGAAGGTTTTTTTAAAGGAATATACAGTATTTTCGTTATGCAAAGCAAATTACTGTACGAAAGTCGTGAGGTTAAAACATTGTAACATATTCAGCATAATAAATATATGTACATATAAGACATATTCATTATACTGAATGTGTTACAACAGGGGTAGAAATTAACTTTTGAACACTGATGTCCAACGGACTCCCTACCCTCAAAAAGAGGGAGTCCGCAGTTTGAGGTTTAAAATTAAAGATATTTTAGCAATAACGCATGTGCTTATTTTTAAGATTCATGCAGTTGCACGTCTGCCAAATTTTCTTGGGACATTAGCTGAAAAAATACGGTAATTCCGCGAGGCCGTGCTCTGGAACGAACTAGTCAGTATCGCAGAATTTTCAGGGAGTCACACGGACACCTGCATGTGTCAAATCAAGGGAGTATTTGACTTCAGACTCCCGTTAATTTCGCACCCTGTTACAATGTTTCAACCTCACGACTTTACGTACAGTAATTTACTCTGCATAACGAAAATACTTCTACACTAACGGCCATAAATCCAATGTACATATAAATATAAGACATTGGATTTATGGCCGTTAGTGTGGAAGCTCCAACATACATTTTGCACAAATTACCATTGTTTATTTAACCCTACATGTCCATACTTATGAAAAGATAATATGTTTAGTGAAGCAGGGTAAACACGTGGAGAGAGTCGGATGTATGTGGAACGGGCCTTGGAGTGTCATATTTCATTTTGGCTGCTGTACATCATTGAACATCACAGCTGCACACAAGGTTGGAGAGAGAGCAAGGATCCCCAAAATACAGTTTGCACACAGCATGCCAGATTCCATAGACTGTAACTGACAATATAACTTACACATGTCACCAAACGTTTATGACTTTTTAAAATTTTGGGCATTAGAATTTATGCCATAATATTGAAACATTGTATCAACACTTGGGAAACCTACCTATGTTTAAATTGGAGCTTTGCATGCATGCTAACGTAATTCTGAAATCTGTGATACTCGGAGTATTAGCACGCAAACAAACATTTACTACAGAAGCAAATATACAAGCCAGGATGATCGCTACTTTTATAAATTTATGTTAATTAATAAGAAATAAGCTAGCTCTATTTTATGTAATTTTAAAACCCGGAATACCTATATGGACTAATTTTTGTTACAGAAACATACACACGATTGATACTTCTAGAGACTATTCACGTGAATGAGTAATAATCAAGTTTTATCATCACTATGTAGTTTTTAGCCTGTATGATAGCAGTTTGCCTCCTCTGCTGAATTTATTATCAAAATGTACCGGCTATAAATTTATAATTTACATCCAAACATAACCATATCAATTAATATGAATTTATATGGTAACTGTTTATATAGAGCATTGTTGATGTTTTGATATTAGGGCACCCATAACACCACTGTTGTTGTGTACGTGACGGTGTTCTTAATTACATTGATATACACATATAGATCCATCACACTAATTAGGTAATATTCAACTGCTACATATTTAACTTACTAGGCATTTGCTGTATAATATAAAGTTCAGCACACAACCCTAAGATATGGGCTCTTCACTCCAGGAAATTCATGGGAACACTATGAAATTCAATAGTAGTGCTAATCATATGTTATAGCCTCTTGAATTGAATTGAATATGTATACTGATCTTACCTCTCCTGAAAAGTTGTAATTTGCTTTGAGAATCAGCCTGTACAATCGGGTTTTACTTTCTTCATCGAATGGCATCTCGCCACTCAATAGAATATATGTTATCACTCCAATTGCCCACATGTCCACTGCATTAGTGTATGGCTTTCGTAACAGTATCTCAGGTGCAATGTACTCGGGTGTCCCACACGTAGTTTTCATGGTGACATCGTCACCAGCCTTCCTAGTGCTTGCTAATCCAAAGTCAGTTATGAGTATTTTTGAGTCATATCCTGGGTGATAATACAATAGGTTTTCTGGTTTTAAGTCTCTATGAGTAATTCCTAAGCTATGGAGGTATCGAACACCATCTAAAACCATTTGCAACACTCTCGTAGCATCGCGCTCAGTGAAGCTACCTTTTGCAACTATGCGATCAAATAGCTCGCCACCCGTGGCAAGTTCCATGACCATGTATATTCTGTCTTTCGATTCAAATACCTCAACCATGTGAACAATGTATGAGTGTAGAACACGCCGTAACACTGCAAGTTCTGTTTCAAACACTTCTCTTCCTTCGTGGGCATCTATCATTTTGATTGCATAGGGTTGTCGCGTGACACGGTGTTCCACACGTACCACCCTACTAAAACTTCCTCTGCCGATTAACGCTTTAATGTCGTATTTGGCCGTCACTCGAGGATCAAATGTCGCCCGATACTTCTGTATCTTTTGTCCTGAAGGCACGGTTTTCGTAGACATTTCTCTGCTGCTCTGTCCACTTTTATTTGTCTTCTGAACAAACTTCCATTTGTTTTTCGACTTCCTACCATTGCCGGAGTCGTGACCCTGTTGACTTTTCAACTTCTCTTTTCCAGGGTCTGACGAGGAAAGAGAAAATATGGATTTTATATCTTTTTTGTCCTTTGAGCAACCATCGGGAGCTGTCTTGCTGTTGCCACACCCCATGGTTTCATATAAAAATACTAGTAGTTCGCAATGGAACAATATTATCACTAACAACGAACAACACAGAAAAGTTTCTGAAACACCGACATTTCTTCATCACTTCCACCGCACAACAGATACAAGCAGGTAAATTGCTCCGAGAAAAGTAGTTTAGATTGTAATTGATTTAAAGTAAGATTCTACAGTTGATGCTGTCACTTTTTGCTATAACCATTCTAGTAATGTATCACAAAAATAAAAATGCGTATAAAATGCCACGTTATCCAATTTATTAAGAAAGTGATACTAATTTGGTTCTTCGCCTGCATCAGCCTGCATGTTCGCCTGTTTCGCGCATGAATACAAAAGCTACATAGATGCTCATTTGTTAAAATTCTTCTAAAGCACATCTATCGCCACCTGTTGGAAATAATGCTTATAAATGTTATGGCATCATAGCTATCATTATATACACATAATTATATCATCAAGAGCTAATCATTATATATATATATATATATATATATGATATCTATGGGTTAATGGTTAACCCATATATATCATTATGTCATATATATATATCAGTAGTAGATAATAGGGAATTCTTATTATCTACTCCTGATATATATATATATGCTGAAGAGCGTATAAAGAAGCCTTCTTAATACGCTCTTGATATGATGTACAGGCCCGTAGCCAGCTTTATATTGGGGGGGGAGGGGTTCGTTTTTCAATGTTGGCAATTTGCTCGGCAGGGGCGTGTACAGGATTTGTACCAGGGGGGTCTGTAAGCCAAAGTTGCGAGCACGCGAAGGGGGGTCTGGGGTCTTAAATTAGACCCCCTCAGATGCGTTTTCTGCGCGAGGCAAAGGGGTGGTCCGAACTCCCTGGACCCCCCTGTACACGCCCTGCTCGGCGCGAAGCGACCAGGCGAGGGAGCTAAGCGACCGAGCGGGGGGAGGGTGTGGGAGGGGGGTGTTCACTGTTCACCCTCCCGCACGATGGATATTTTTGCAATTATTACACTAAATGGAGCGACCTGAGGTGAAATTCTTGCAAATTAAAAAAAAAAAAATTTTTTTGCTTGGGGTGGGGGGGCTCGGGGGGGTTCGTTCGAACCCCGAACCACCCCTGCTACGGGCCTGGATGTATATATACATATCATATCAAGAGCTAATAATAAGGTATTATATAATTATTAGCTATTGATGATATATATCACGGGACGGAATATATATATATATTATTACGGACGGTAACCACTGCCTTACTTTGCATCGGAATACTTGGATACTTGGAAAATTAAGTATCTAGTTGTAGGGTCGTAGCCTAAAGTAAAGCCCTAGGGAGGTAGTATGTAATATGTGACATTGATGAGTATAATGACGGGGGAGGGCGTAGGCCGCGTAGCTCAAAGTTCCAGTGTACAGTGTGACAGAGTTGGTGTGCGATGACGATTCACTGCTGACTATATATTTTACATATCATACGACGCTACGCTTATAGGCCCTACTATAAAAATTATAGTTATTCGCATTTAATGGGCTTTTATTTTAGTTAAAAAAATCTAAGGAGGTATATAGCTGCCTCCGAGGCCACATTGCCAGCATAATGTGCCTAGTCGAACCAATACAGAACTGCAGAAATAATTAGAAAAAACGTGCAATAGATAGGTCTACCACAACTGTCGTGTTAGTAAGATCATCGCCCCGGCTAACATTTTGGCGCATCACGATAATAATTTACGATAAGAATATAGAAATCATTATTATACTTTTCGCGACACAAATGAGATAAAATTTTAATATAACGCATTTGGTATTTATTATTTATTATTATTATTATTATAAAAAATATCAAAAGTCATAGCTGTGATGTGACTGCGGTAATCACTAGCCATAAAATTTTATAAGACGTCATATATGCACTTTTGATACAGCCGAAACAATTAGTATAGTAGAAATTAAAAAGGTACGATAAGGATATATATGACGTTGCTAATATTGCAATTATATTGGCGCGATGTAAATGCGGTACAACAAATTAGCACACGTCTTGCGAATGTAATTATCATAACTACAACTGACAAAATGAACACACGGCGCGCGCCGCGCATGTAAAAGAGTCGTGAAGTGCTTACGTCATGCGCGTATACCCTACTGATCTCATCTATTTTTCATCATCTACATCATCTACTGATCTCATCTTCATGTCGCAACAATCTCATAATAAGTTTAATATATAGAGATCAGTGGTATACCCCACAGACGCACGCCCATGCATACGCGCGAGCGCAGGCACGCACTAAACGCGCACGCACGCACGCACGCACGCATGCACACACAGATACACACACACACGCACACACACACACCGACACACAACACAACACACACACCAGGCGTAGAATAGCGGGGGGGATGGGGGATGCATCCCCCACTTATTGACGTGGGGATGGCGTGTACAATCATTCCCCCTACTTTCAGGAGGAAAATGGGGGATTCAACATTTTCTGGGGAGGACCCGCATACCCCCGCATGTTTCTTACCACCCTCCTCGAAATCCTGCATTGCCACTGTCGAGCGTAACAAATTTAGCACCCCCCCTTCAAAAATCGTTCCGCCGCGCCTGTAGAGTACTGCTAACAAAATTATGATTATGAATATTTGTATGCATATCAAAGTCACATTTGAGTTCATCTGACAAGGGGCGTAGATAGCGGAGGGATGGGGTATATCCCCACTTGATTGAGGTGGGGTGGCTTTCATCACCCCCTACTTTCAGGAAGAAAATGGGTGGGAAAAATTTATATTTTACAGACAATAAATACTGGATATTTATCTACAAATCCGTCATCGCTATTCATACTCTCCTAATGTATTATTACAGAAATGGAATTTGAAATACATCGTACTGTAAAATGGCTGTAATTCGTTCAAGAATGACATTATTTTACTGAAACTCAGACGGTTAATTTTGGACGCATTCCCCATATACGATTTTTTTTTCCAATTCCTAAATCACGTCGTTGCTCACTGCTCCACGAGGTTAAAATCGCTTGCTTTATCAAAATTAGGAATAGACCTATTAGGGAGTCGCTGATCGGGATATTGCATTCGCTTCACGGCCGCCGGGGGTGCCTCTGACCATGCGGCAACAATTCACGATTTCAGGTCCTCATCTCTTTGGGAGGGCCGGATGGCGATCGCGGGCCGGGCTGAGACGGCCATGCCACCTTGACAGACTACCCGTATCCTTCCCGATTTTATACTACAGGCGCGTGAATACATGCACCTATTGGTTTCAAATCTTGCGCTTGTTTTCCGCTGGCTCTCATATTCTTTTTGGCCAGTTTAAGGTTGCTCACTTCTCAGTAAAAATATACGTTTTATCAAAATTTCAGGGGCAGACTGATTCTAGTGCTGAAGTTCGTCAACGGGGTCGGTAAAGTCAAGAGCGCGGCTGGTCGCCCCCTTCCGCCTAGAAATTTTCAGGGTAAAACCCTATTCTAGCCTAGTAAGTTGCCTGCACTGGCAACCCCAGTGCGGGACATGTACATGTACCCGTAGCAGCCAAGATCCCGTGTAGTGAACCGCCATTTTTACTCTTTGGTGTCCCAAGGTAAAAAAATACTCAATCAACAAGTGATGTTATTGCGTGATGTAATTGTTTTAATAGTGCTGCCTCATTAAGTGCAGGAAATTGCATCGAGAGGTGTTACTTCAACAAGAATTTCCGGGGGAGGTCTCCCACCTGGACCTCTCCTAAACAGGAGGGGACACCAACCTGAAGGGAGGAAAAATCCTGAACTCATTTTATGATAGAAGAGTGTCGCAAAATTGAAGTTGCTTTGTAGATTGCAAGCTGTTTTAGACAATTCCACACAGTGCGCGCCTTCGTGCCCTGACTCGCATAATGTCCCCCCGCGCCTCCCGCCCCCGCGCCTAGAATTTACTTTCTGATCCGCCAGGTGGTTAATTGGTTTCTGTTGTGCTGGGGCCGTCGCGTGTTCCTCCTGCACTCCAAAGGAAAAAAATTACCCTCGAATTCCAGCAATAATGGCAGCTTACAATGTCAATTTGTTCAATTACCTCAAAAACGACCATCTTGAAAGTTTCTAAATTGCGGGTAAAAACTAAGAGCCCGTGCCCGCGGGCTCCGCCCCCTGGACCCCGGGCAAGGGCTCTGCCCCTGCACACGTCAGGGCCCCTACGCGCGGGCCCTGTCCCAGGTACCCATTAAGGGATTTGCGCGCAAGGCTGTTCGCGTGTGTCGCTACTCGCACACCGTTTCATAATACATTATATGGCAGGGTACCAGCGAAATCAATTCCCCCCCCCCCCACAACTGAGGACCTGTCTACGCCCAGCTGACACACACACACACACACACACACACAACACAACACACACACACTACACACACACACACACCACACACACACCACTACACTGGTGAGCTTAGATATTTTTTATTTTCAAAGAGATCAGTTTACACGGCCAAGTAAAATTCAGCCAGTTCGCGACATGTTACGGCTTATCGTTAAAAAGGATTATCGAAGTATACCGCAGCGTTTGCCCGAACGCGAGTTGATTCGTCTCACTTTACCGAAGCGCCCTCTGTCCCCATATGCTGGCATAATGGCCGACAGCCGTACAGCTGCTACGATCTTCTAAGGAGTCTCCGAAGTGCCAGCCGTAATGAAGTATAAAAAAGGTTACATGTATGCAATGCTTCAAGTTTGTACATTTCGCTAGCGTAATATACCCCGTTCTTAATGGAAATTTTGTAGAGTTATTAATTTTCAATGTCACTGCGTACGTAAACCACGTTGCTCCTTTCTCGTGTCCTCATCCATGATGAATCATGATTCCATTGTGACTGTCAAATATACATCATGTGATGTGCAAGGCAGGTCAACAGAAATGACGCAATGAGTAGTTTAGTGTGGTACGTCTTGCATACAGATTGAACCTACTTAATAAACTATTCCATCTCCACATTCCACATACACTGCTTTCCATGCAGAAGTTGCAGGGCTTTAATTGACGATTGTGCAATTATGTAACTTGTAAAATCACAGGCACTTGTATCTTGTATCCTGTATCTTGGGCCCGGCGTCCCTCTCTAGTATTTCATAAGGCACTGATTTCTCTTGGAATGTGCGGGCGGAATGCCTGTAGATAAGGAAATTCTGTCTACAAGTTAGCATTAATTCTTTTACTTTCTCTAATTGATAAGGCAGTGGCTACGGGTACGGTAGCCGTATCTTAATGTCTCGAGGCTACGGTCGACGGGAGTCCATTCGCTTTCATAGCTTAACCGC